CATTAAGCCCCACAGCTTGTATGTATCAATAGGATAGGTGCAGAATGAGGTCCTTAAAGAGGAGTTAGGGTGGCCTGGGGAGCAGATTGGGGTTCTTGGAATGTCTAGTTGAGGTACTCAGGAGTAGGCTTCATGATCCCTTCTTTAGGGATGTTGAAGAAGGGATTCCTGTTCAAAGGAGTGGGACCATATGACCTTTGTTATAGTCACTTTTAACTCAGAGATTTAATGATTCTGAGATCTGGGTTGCTGATTAAGTTGCTCTCCTCACCCTCCCTCATAATATCTTACTATCTGGGATCTCTTAACTAGCTCAGCCCATCAGCTCTGTCTTCATCACAGGTATGGGATAAATGTAACTTTTGTAACTCTCCTCCGTGCCTGAAACTTCTGCGGCTGCTTGCATCGATTTTGAGTGCTTGACTAACATCAAGTTTGACTGACTCGGAGTTAATAAATATTTATTTATTTTTTGAACAGTATTTTATTTTTCCCAATTACATCTAAAGACAATTTTTAACATTCACTTTTTATAAAATTTTGAATTCCAAATTTTCTCCCTTCCCTTTCCCCTCCCTAAGATGGTAAGCAATGTAGGTTGTACATGTGCAATCTTGTAAAACCTATTTCCATATTAGTCATGTTGTGAAAGAAGAAACAGTTTGCAAAAAAATTACAATTTGCAAAAGGAAAAAAAAATGAGAAAAAATAAAGAAAATGAAAATAGTATGTGTCGATCTGCATTCAGACTCCATAATTCTTTCTCTGGATGTGGATAGCATTTTCCATCATGTGTCTTTTGGAATTGTCCTGGATCAGTCCATAAGTCTCTATGTAATAAGCACCTCCTGTGTACCAGTTATTGCGCTAAGAGTGGGGGATACAAAGAAAGGTTAAAAAACAAACCCCCAAAACCCCAGTCCTTGAGAGCCAGTGAACCTACCTGGAGCAGGAGATGGAGTGTCCTATGGGAGGAACAGCCAGGAGGCCACTTTCATTGGATCATAGAGTATGTGGAGGAGTGTAAGGTGTAAGAAGACTAGAATGATAGGAAGGAGCCAAGTTATGAAGGGCTTTAATAGCCAGATAGGAGTGAGGAAAGGCGAATGGAAGGTTCCAAAGAGGGGGGCAACAGGAAAGGAGCCTAGACCAAAGATTAGGCTGGAAATCCCAAACATGAAGCCAAGGAGATGGAATATCGGTACTTGGTAGTGAGAAGGAATCAGATCAGTCCTTAACATATAGGCTTGGCTCTGAGAAATCACAGCATCTCTGGCTTTACTCGGGACACTTCCCTTTACCAAAGAAAAAATGTATTTTTTTTAAAGTGGTAGGAGAATTTTTAAAAAATAAAAAAAGTTCGCTTTTATGGCACTTACTGTCTTTACAAAAAGCTTTCCTCACAACAAACCTTTGAGGTAGATAATTACAAAGTGTTATATCCATTTTACAGATGAGGAAACTGAGGCTCAGAAGCCTTAACTGACTTGTCTGTGGTACACAGTAACTAATGGAAACCAGTACTCCAACCCAGATGTCTGTCTCTCGACATGAAAATGGACTCCTGAATTTCGGGCTGCCCGTCTTGAAGGCAGTTCCTTGAAAGCAGGGTTATTCCTTCTCTGGGGTTTCTACACTTGACTATGGGGGAACATGACAATAAATTTGGAGTCTAGAGATGATATGAAAAGGCAGGGTAGTGTGGTAGAAAGAACAATGGAACCTTGAAGCAAGGGATAGAAATTCTGGTACCTCCTGCCTCTCCATCCCTGCCACTTATCCACTCTGTGACCTTGGGCAAGAGTCTTAAGCAGGGGTGAGGAACCTGTGGCCTCGAGGGCACATGTGGCTGTCTAGGTCTTCAAGTGCAGCCCTTTGACTGAATCCAAACTTCACAGAAGAAATCTGTCCCCCAGCCCTGGTCTTAACCTTTCTAGGCCTCAGATGCCTCTTATGTAGATTGTGGTTAATATCTGAAGTTAGGGCTGAATCCGATGATCTCTGGACGGCCCTTCCTGATCCTTCCATAGACCTTAACCATGATTCTGTATGGTTCTCTTCCTAAGACAATGTGCCTTCATTTAATTTTCTCTGTCATTTCTGAGACCTCAGCCTTCTTGGCTGATGATATTCAAGGACCCTTCATGGGCTGGGGGTGGCAGTAGGGCTTTCCAGAATCCTGGTGTGGCCAGTGCTAACATAAACCATAAGATTTTTCTCCCCCATTTACTTGTATATCTGGATGGAAGAAAGAACATGGTTGGGAATAGAGCCTTTCATTTTATACTCAGATGAGGTTGAAACTACTAATTCCCCTGGGAGAGCTAATGGTGATTGAAATGGACACTTGGACCACAGGAGTATAGGATTCAGAACTGGAAGGGGTCTTGGAGATCATTTAGTCCAACCTTCTCATTTTACAGATAAAGAAACTGAGTCTTAGAAAGGTTAAGTGAGTTTCTCCAGGTCACACAGTATCAGATCTGGGATATGAATAATAGCTAATAACAAGCATTTATTTATTACTTTAAGGTTTGTAAATAGTTTCACAAATATTACAAATTACAATATTTGCAATATTTTACATGGGCAGCTAGGCGGCTCAATGGCTAGCGCGCCATGCCTGGAATCAGGGAGACGCATCTTCCCGAGTTCAAATCTGACCTCAGTCACTCATTAGCTTAACCCTGTTTGCCTCAGTTTCCTCATCTGTAAAATGAGCTGGAGAAGGAAATGGCAAACCACCCCATTATGTTTGCCAAGAAAACCCCAAATGGGGTCACACAGAATCAGACATGACTGAAAACGACTGAACGAACACACACACACACACACATAGTATTGTTTTATCATCGCAACAATCTTGGGACATAGGTGCTATAGTTATACCCATTTTACAGCTGAGGAAACTGAGGCAGACTAGAGTGAGGTGTCTTATCCAAGGTCACATAGCTGTTAAGTGTCTCAGGTCACATTTAAACTCAGATCTTCTTGACTTCAGGTCCAGGGCTGTCCACTGTACCACCTAGTTACTTCCGTAAACTCAGGTACATAGCAGTCTAGTGGCGGATGAGTGCAAGTATTGAAGAGCACCCTGGTCCTTGCTCTCAGATTTTATAATCTAATGCCCAACTTGAAGTCAATATAAACATGTACATGTAACTAGGTAGTACATTAAGCATCAGTGATCTTGTCACCTTGGAAACACCCTTCCCCAATGCAGATCTCAATCTGTAACTTAGGCAGTTGTACTGGGTTCAGAGAGGTTAATTGTCTTCAGATGGTCACCCAACTAAATGTTAGAGGTGAGACCTATGCCTAGGGCTTCCTAACTCTAGGTCCAGTGTTTTTTCGACTTTTCACCACTGCCTCTGATATGTATGAACACAATAATGTATTTTGGAAGGCTTATGTTTGTGTTTGGATGAGGTTAATGGGGGAGGAGGAAGAGAGTAAAAGGCCATGTGAAGGCTCCCCATACCCCATTAGCTTGACTGCTTTGCCAGGGGGTCAGGGGGTGATGCTATGAGCTCCTTTCCTCTAGTGGATCTCTAGCCTTAGGCTTCTGACCCTACAGATGACCCTGTAGGGATTCAGGATCAGGGGAACTTATGTAGTGGGACCTAGTCCAAGATGTAGTGTAACCTTGCTGACTATCATAATGTCTTCCTTCCAACAAAACGAGATCTTGGAAATAATAGTTATATTAGCTAGCATTTGTATAGTGCTTTAAGGTTTGCAGAGTGTTTTAATATGTTATCTCATTTGATCCTCACAACAACTCTGTTGTGAGTGCTATTAGTATGTTGTTTCTACAGATAAGGAAACTGAGACTGAGAGAATGTAAGTGACTTGACCAGGGTCACACAGCTAGCATGTATCTGAGGTGGGATTCAAACTCCAGTTTTCCTGTTGTCTACTGTGCTAATAGCCTCCTTAGTCAGTATTTATCATTTGTATCTCTGTGGGAATTTGTTTTTGGGTTTCTTCTTCCCGGGGGATTTACATTCTAAGTCTTGTCTCTGAATTCCTAAGGAAGGAACTGCAGGGAGGAGGGGAAGTTATGTTGGGGCAGCCACACGTTCCATTGTGGTTATTGAAGTGGGAGTTGTTTGGCTGATCTCTGAGGTCTCTTTCAACTTTCCAGATTTTATGGTTCTAGGAAACTTGGAATGAATGATGTTAACTCTGAGCTCCCACTTCCTTCTATTCCCAGAGGGTGGGTGTGGGTTTGGGGAACAAAGAAAGCCCCACTCCTGCCAGCCAGGAGGGAGACAGAGGAGGACGAAGTCAGTGAGGGTGAGTTAGGTGAAGTGTTAGACCTAGAATGGATTGAGTCTCCAGGTGAATGTTGAGTGAGGGTCATAGGAGCAAAGATTTAGACCTGGAAGGGACCTCAGAGGCCTCCAAGATGAGGCCAAGAAAGGTCCAAGGACTTATCCAAGGTCACACAGGTAGTAAAATGACGCAACTGGGATTTGAAACCAAAGTCTGGGACTCTCAATTTAATGCCCAGTCTACCATACCATACCTCCTCACCAAGGAAATATTTTAAATAGAGCTTGCCCCTAACTCCTGAGAACGGTCCTTAAGGAAGCAGATTTGGGGAGAAAGAGCTCCATTTATCCCTGAAGGCTTAAGAAAGTGTCTGAGAAAAGGGGTTGAAGCCATCAACAGGCAAAATTGCAGGGATTTGGTCGGTGGTGTAATATGGCCATGTCCTCTGTGGTTTGGGCCCCTACTCTCAACTTGGGGATGTCTGACCCTGGGTAGGTGAATGGGGATAGTTGAACAATGGGCACCTTCTAGTGAGGCCACCTCTTTTTGAGAAAGTCTTTTTTTTTTAGTGACTGGGGCCTTCTTGGACCCTGAGACCAATTCGGGTTTTGAATGGAAAGATCAGAGTGGAGGAGGGAGAGCCTGAGCCTGAGGATCTGGGGTAGAATGGTGGGGGGATCATCATTCAGATTAGGAAATTAACATGTCTTCTCTCTGTCCAGGCTGAGGAGGAGCTCATCAAAGCTCAGAAGGTATTTGAGGAAATGAATGTTGACTTGCAGGAAGAGTTACCATCTCTGTGGAATAGGTAAGTGGGCCTAAGGCTGGAAACTCCTGTTGTAGTGAAAGGGATATGGATCTTCACTCTTGGGAAGCCCTCAGTCTATTGGGGACATCTAGTCCACACCCTTGTACTATGAGAAAGGACAAATTGGTATTTGGCTTTATGGCAAGAAAATAATCTTATCCAGAAATCCTATAGCTCCAAATACAATTGGAGTATTCTTGCCAAGGTCAATGTCTAGTCAATGTTCCTCTACTTTCCTTCTCTTACCACACCCAGATATATATGTGCGTGTATATATATATATATATATACACATATGAAGTAGTGATAGGCAAAAGGAACTTTTTGTCTTTTTCCTTAGAAGGGGAAACTGAGGTCTGGATGAGTTGAATGGTCTCTTGAAGCCATACGTTGTACTAAAAGAAATAGCCTGGTTCATAGTCGGTTGTCTTTTGGTTGAGCTATTGGGCAGAGAGTGGGAGCTGTATGTTGAGGGGTCTTTGCAGAAGGGATGTACCAGGGACCTACCCTGAGCCCTTTCCAGGTGATTTCCTTGGACCCTTGCCTTCACCTGACCATCTGTCCTTTCCCCTCCCTTTAGCCGTGTTGGTTTCTATGTCAACACATTCCAGAGCATCGCTGGCCTGGAGGAGAATTTCCACAAGGAGATGAGCAAGGTAAGCAAGCCCCTTCTCTTTGTGGCCTTGTCACCCCACCTCTGAGGTCTAGCTCCAGGAACCTCTGAGATACTAGGCATTACTAGGCATTATGGGACATTATCCAGAAGCTTAGTGATATAATGGATAGAGTTCCGGGCCTCGGGACAGGAAGACTTATCTTCCCTAGTTTAAGTCTAGCCTCAGACACTTCCTGGCAAGTCACTTAATCCTGTTTTCCTCGGTTTCCTCATCTGTCAGATGAGCTGGAGAAGGAAATGGCAATCTGCTCCCATATTTTTGCCAAGAAAACCCCAAATGGGGTCATGAAGAAAGTTGGAAAAGACTGAAGATGGCTGAACAACAACATGGAACAGGGGAAACTGAATTCTGAAGTGAGAGGTCCTGGGTTCCGCTGCTCACTACCTATGTGACCTAAACCTGGTCACCTCTCTGGGCCTCAGCATCTTATGTGTAAAATGAGGGGGTTGGGCTAGAAGCCTGCGATCCTCTGTCCCCACATCCCCCTTCAGATCCCTGTGAATACTGGAAGTGGTTCAGTGGTTCAGTTTACTCCTAGTGCTCCATTAGAAAATCTTCTCTCTTTCCACCTCCCTACCTACAAGTTGGTGAAAAGAGTCCTCCTCCCAAGCCTCCTCCTGCCGTTCCCTATGGTGATACCTTTCACTAATCCCACCTGTCCTACATCCCATTTGTGTAGCGCTTTGCTGCCTCTGGCTGGGAAAGGATCTGTCCTGTTGTTAGTGCTTTATGGGCTTAAGGTGTTCCCTCTCCAAGATATTTGTGTTTTAAGGGCAGATTCTTGGAAACTGAAAAGTCTTAAAGGCCAAAGGAATGAATATCTGCATACAAGGTTAGCCCTGGGGATGTGTGTCTCTGGTCTGAAGCCAATGAGGGAATGACTTTTCTACAAACCTTCTTTATTTTCTATCAGCATTTCAAGGTAGTCTCACCCCTTCTTCCTCCCAGCCATGTAGGGAAGGTCATAGAGAGCAAACAGAAGATAAATAAGCCAGGAAAAGGGATAAGAACTGTCATAAAGGGGAAGGGGAAAGGGAAAGGAATAAGCATTTATTAAAAGCTCATTGGGTCAGGCATTGTACTAAGCACTTTACAAATATTATCTCATTTTAGCTTTATAACAACTGTGGAAGGTAGACAGAGGTTAAATGACTTGCCCAGGGTCACCCAGCTGGTAAGTGCCTGAGGCTAGATTTGAACTCAGGTCTTCTCAACTCCACGCTTGGGGCTTTATCCACTTTGCCCCCTGGCTGTGTATAGGACTGATTGCCTTGTATGACACGACTTCAAGGAGGCCAGAGAGTAAAAGTGAGTAGGAGCAATCACCCTGTTGCCTATGTTTACCTATCCTAAAAGACCTTGTTTGGACTGTCAACAACTAGACCTGCGTTAATTCGGACCAAATCTATCTCTCCAGGACAGATGGGATGACTCTGGCATACCGTTCCATTCTACAAAGTATCAAATATTTGATTTCAGGTAGTGGATAGAGTGCTATCTATATTCCTGGAAGGAGTTTCCATAGTGGGAGTTCCTGAATGAAATCATATCTCCTTCTCATATTTATGTATCTACAATGTCCTCAGCATAGATACATTTCATGCTATGCTGGGTTGTGCTGGGTGTTGGGGGAATTTAAAGGGCGTTGTTCTGAGTGTTGGGAATATAAAGATAGAGATCTTGGGGGACCCAGTCATGTGGATGGGAGGTCAGGCAGAGAGGAAGAGTGAGTTAAGTGTGGAAACAAGGGTAGGCCAAATAGAGGATGGCGCTGCAGGTGGCTGCCCTTGGCTTTAGCCATGGGTTCCTAAGAAGTCTCAGAACCTGAGTTGTGCCTGCACTCGTGGTCAGACTGCCTCATCCACTCCATTCACCGTCCCTCCTTTCTCTCTGCAGCTGAACCAAAACCTGAATGATGTGCTGGTGAGCTTGGAGAAGCAGCATGGCAGCAACACATTCACTGTCAAGGCCCAGCCAAGGTCAGCCCCGCAACCTCTCTATGGGAGGAGAGATGGCGGAGAGGCTGCTACAACCTTTCTGTCCCCATGACAACCCGCTCGTCTTCCTCGGTGGGGAGGCACTAAATGAGGGGAAAGCCTCGGCTTGTCCAGCTGAGGGTATTCACCAAAGGATGGGCAGGCTTGCTGATGCTGATGTAGCTAGGGCAGGGCTAGGGGGTTGGGGAGAGGAATGGGGAGGGAGATTAGCTTTAACTACATCCTTGTATCATGTGCGGGCCAGTGTAAGATGGCGGGCTGGGAGTGAGGATTTTAGTATAGATCCCCATTTTTTTCCTGCAAACGAGTAAAAGGTATAGGTTTGGAGCAAGTGTAGACAGGAAAACAGAAAGGACAGTGAGCTGGGAATCATGAGACCTAGGTTCTTACTAGTGTTGGCCTTGGCACAGAATCGTTATATTAATCTTGAGCAAATCACTTCTCTTTAGTTTTCTCATCTACAAAATAAAGGAGGTTCTACTAGATCAGGGGCTCTTAACCCGGAGTGCGTGAACTTTTAAAAAATATGTTTTGGTAACTGTACTTCCATATAATTGGTTTCCTTTTATAATCCTACATATTTTATTTTATGAATATAAGGATATTTTTCTGAGGAGGGTTAACCAGATTCCTAGAGGGGTCCATCACACACGCACGCACGCACGCGCACACACACACACACACACACACGTAGAACCCTGTCCCTTAAATCCTATAAAGCTGATTATTCTAGGCTGGCATATTCAGAGAATCAAGTCCAGAGCTAGGTGACTCTTACCCCCTTCGTTTCTTCCCGCTTCCTGCATCTTGGTATAGTAAACTGGGAGTCAGTGCAAAGTCCGTCTCATCTGTGAGCAGAGGAGAGAGAATTCTGCCATCAGAGTCAGGAGACCTGACTTCACCACTTTCTAGCTGGACTACTCAGCCAAATGACCTTTCCTTTGGCCCTTGATTTTTGCCCTCTGAAATGAATCTAATAATACTTGTACTGCCTGCCTCACAGGTTGTTGTGGGGCCCAAGTGAGACAAAAAAGTGCTTTGTGAAATAGAAGGCACCCTCCAGATGTGAAGTTATTGCTATTATTGGTAAAACTTCAAGCCAGCTGAGCAGAAATGTTTGCCAGGCCTGTTCCCCCAGTGGTGTGCCAGTGAATTCTAGATGCGTTAGTCTTGCTTTCACCTTAGTCCCTAGGCTGACGCTGCCCCCCTCCCCCATCCCTATAAATTCTGTTCCCATAAATCATGTTCAGCCCAGCAGGAATTTCATAATCTAGATTTTTATCCCAAATGTTTCTTGTGACAGGATTAGGGGACGAAGAGGGGCCTTGGCAAATTTCCCTTTGTCTAGAGGTCTGTAGGAACAAGAGCTGTACTTTGGGTTTCCACTCCTTAGGGACCATGGAAGTATGCATGAATTCATATATGTGTATTTTTGTATGACTGAGACAGAGTATATATATGCACAGATGATAGGATAAGGCCCATAGGGTGCCCTGATATGAATTCAGTGTTATTGCGGGAAGAAATAAAAATGATCCCTCACTCTCTGGTCTTGAGGAGCTGATGTCCTGACAGGCAAGACAACCGTAACATCCATCTCTGCCATGCGAGCCCATCCCATCCCAATGTGGTCATATGAGTGACATAGAAGGAACATGGTTGACCAGCTACCGTGATGTGTAGCCTGGGGAATGGTTTGTGTTAAGCAGGGCTTATTTCTTAGAGGAGAGGGTCCTCCTTTTTTTATGGAGAGGGAAGGAATGAGGTTTAACAGCCTCTAGGGAAATAATTTCCTGAATCTAGGATCGCCTTCAGAAAAGGATTAGAAGTTGGAAAGGGTAAAATTAGATTAGAGGCAAATTCAGGAAAGAGGGAGGCAACTTGGTCTGTGCCTGACCGAGTCATTGTCATGTCCCAGTGAGGTTACGAGTGAACCGTATCATTTCGGAGAGGCGGTATGGTGTGGTGGGAAACGCAGTTGTCCAGGTGTCAAAAGCTCTGAGTTTGGATCACATCTCTTCTACTTGCTAGTTTTGTGAACTTTGTCAGGTCGTTTAGATTCTTTCTGCCTCCATTTCTTCGCCTGTAAAATGGGAACCAACTATACTTGAACTATCTATCTCGCAGGGTAGTTAGTTTAAAATTATCTAAGTGTGAGCTTTTAGCATTATTCTTACACTGTTTATCTGCTCCTCTTCTTCGGTTCTACAAATATTTATCAATTACCTACTATGGTAAGATATTTCATACCAGTGGGGATGAGGAATAGTGTGTCTTTTTTGGGGTGGGAGACATGCACATGCAACCTAACTTTAGTGGGAGTGGGTTGGACACTGAAGTTGATGAGGTCAAAAAGTATTCACTAGACAACTTTTCTAGTCTGGCAGATTTTAGGAACTGATTCACCCTTTAAGCCACATTATACATATATACCCTAACCATCCTTCCTTCTCTTCACCCCTCAAAGTCACTACCATCTTTAATTATCATCCTGCTGAACTCAAAATAGCAAAGAAGAGAGAGAAAAATCCAGGACATCTTGGTTACGTATTAAATTAAACTTTTTTCCTTGTTAGATAATTATGACTCGGCATCCAGAGTTCCATTTGGAAGCTGGGAGACCAGGGTTCTAGTCTCAGCTCTAATGTGTGTTTCTTGTGTGGCTTTGCATAAATCACTTCCCTACGCTAGGCCTTGGCTCCCCAATCTTTTAGGTGGACAGAATCACCTGTATCTTTAAAGCCTGAGGAGTGTAGACAGAAGTGAAATGCTGAACCCAAGAGCATCCTGGAGGGGCTGTAAAGAGAATCTGGCTAAGGGAGAAGATTCTTGCCAGGCCCTGTGTTCCACTCGTCGAAGGGAAGAGCTTTGCCTGGTTTGGTTTTGGGGGCCCCTTTTTAGAAGTGTGTATATTTTGGTGTTACACTAGGGATGGGGAGAAAGGAAGACAGATGACTTTTATTTTTCCCTCCTATAATAAAAGCCATTTGCATCCGGTCCCCCACAGAAAGAAAACTAAACTGTTCTCCAGACTTCGGAGAAAGAAGAGCAGGTACCAGTATACCAAGAGCTGCATTGTGTGGGGGCCCTCAGGGCTCATAAAAACAAGTGTGTGGCCTCCCCTGATAACCTGGGTGTGCGGAGGGGAGTCGTGTGTTCCCTTGGGATCTAGAGCATGTCCTGATGTCCTGATGTCCTCGGCCTGGGAAGGGGGGAATGGACAGAACTAACCCAATAACCTGCCTTGGTGTGTGTAATGCTGTTCATACTCTTTGCCCTCTTTGGTATAGGGAGAGGCTAGAGAAAGTATCCCAGGGAATTAGAGGCAAGAAACGAAGTTTTGTGGGTGTGGTATTTAGTTGAATGCTCAAAAGTAGGCAGCTAGGTATGAGACGGTCAAAGCAGGAGTAGGAACAAAGGGTAGAGGTTGATGAGTACATAGAAAGAACTTGGTGAACAAGTTGGGACTGGACGCTCCCCATCGGGAGAACACTCCAGAGTCAAGGATCATCCAGAGAGGTCGGAACCAGGCAGGCAGCCAGGAACCCGAAAGCCCTAGATCCTGGAGAGCAGGCCAAGGCAGTGAGGTTGGTCAATACCCAGGCAAGCCATCTGGGCAGTAGTTATGGGGTGCCAGCAACAAGGAGACCCTGATACTAAATATAACCATCTTATACACTTCCTGCTAGGGGCCAGAACCAAGCCCAGGCCGTAGCTGCAGGCTGCATCACCTCGGCTCACCAGACCTAGCAGATCTGGTCGCAGGTCTGCTGTGATCCCTCAGGTTGGCTCCGTTGGAGAGACCCCGATAGTAGAATATTTAGTAGGGCCCATCTGGCCTAGAACTGTGTGGCTTGAAGCTGCTATTGGCCATCTCTGCATACCCTTTCCCCCACTAGTTTCTCCTTCTGGGAGATTCTTTACTTCTCAGTTACTATTTTACTACTGTTAGTAGTAGTAACTACTACTCAGTTACTTCTTAGTCACTTTTTTGGAGGAGGAGGAGGTGATTTGTATTCTTTTTTTCTTTTTTAAAGAATTCAAATTAATAATGGTATATCTATTAGCCTTTTAAAAAAAATAGCTTCTAGTTTTGTTTTTAATTTTATCTTCAGTGACTTTTCAGGGCCTCAGTTTTCTAACCTTTAATATGAGGGAATTGGATTGGATGACCTCTAACTTCCTCTTAAGTTTTTGCTTTCCTAGGATCATCAGAGCTGGGAGAGTCCAGATGGAACCATTGGGTCTGTTGAACAGTGTTTGGGGAGACACCATAAATAGAGAGAAAACATGATCCTGTCTGTGGTGGTTTCTTTACTAGGAATTTCTTTTGGACCAATCTCCACTTGACCCCAAATGCTTAGGCCCCAAAGGAATGAACCCTCCAGGAGGAGTTAGGGAAATTCATATAGTGGCCACTGGACTTTTGATTTGAGTCAATTGCCACATTCTGATCTTCAGACCTTTGACCTCTCAGCTAGGTTCACGTCTCTTGGGGGCAGAATGTCATCCTCTCTTTTGTGTTTAGTATCAGAAACCAGAAGGGTGAGATGGCTAGGATTGGAGGTCTAGCCATGGGGGTTAGGGCTAGGGTTTGGCACTCACTTTATGCAGTTTTCAATTATTCAGGGCTGGCTAGATTATCCTCTCCCTTTCCCTTGCATTGTAGCCACTCCTTTCTAGAGGAAAGGAAAGAAAAGTCAGCCAACAAACATTTATTGCTTACTATGTGCCAGGAACTGTGAGAAGTATTAAGGATACAAAGAAAAGCCAAAAACTGTCCCTAGCCTCAATGAAGTCACCTTCTAATGGGAGAGAGAATGCAAAAATAGCTAGGTGTATATACAAGATACATCCAGTAAGGCCTTGAAGGAGGAAAGAAACCCCATCCTATTTGAGAAAATTTATTATAAGTAACTTTCATGTATCTGTGTTTACCTCTGCCTCCTATCTGTATGTATACTTGAGAATAAGCTTTGAATACCATTCTGCCTTGTATCTTGTATCTTGTAGATGCAAGAGCAGTAGAGGGACAGTGTCTTTTGTATAGGGAGTGTCTGAGGCTTTGGGTTAGCCTGCCTGGCTTTTGGGGCAGGTCCCAGGCTATCCAGGCCAGCTGGCATGAGTAGAATAGACTTGGGCCTGGATGCCTCAGGCCTCAGGGCTATCGCAAAGGCCCAGAGAGGGGTTAGGAGTGAGTCAGTGGGAGAATTGGGGTACTTTGGCTATCTGCTTCCTACTACTCATATGTAGACTTGGGGATAGGGAATATTCTGGGAACATTTAGAATCTTTTCTGTTTTTTCATTTCTATCATTGTCCCTAAAGCATTCAAACATGGGCACACAGACTCATCCGTGCTCCCTTTCACATAGTCATACACAGAAGGCATATTCATACCTGAATGCACACCTGTACCCTCATTTGCACAGATACACATTTTTCCATACTCATAGATGTTCACATTCCCTTTGTAATAAGCCTCAGAGTAGAATTTCTCCCAGAATTCTCTTTCCTCTGGGGCTGGGGTCCCTGTGCCTTGATCTAGAGGACCTGGCTAAGAGCTCCTCTAGAAAGTCTCCTCCTGCTCACTACCTCTCATTGTCTCTGTCTCTGTCTCCATCTCTGCAGTGACAATGCCCCTACGAAAGGGAACAAGAGCCCCTCACCACCGCCCGATGGTTCCCCAGCTGGCACCCCTGAGATCAAGGTCAACCACGAGCCTGAACCAGCCAGCCTGGACACTCCGGGGGCTGCCCTCCCCAAGTCGCCGTCTCAGGTACCCGCTTGACTACACAGTCCTTTCCTTACCTTTTGCTTCTGTCTCCTTCCTTCTTCCTTCTTCCCTCTTCCTCTGCTTCGCTTCCCTTCCCTTCTCTCTTTTCATCTTTTGTTCTTTTTCCCTCTGGGCTTCCCAATGCCCTCTCTTTCCCACTGAGGCAGGAGGTTAAGTTCTGGAGGTTTATAAGGGAGGCTCAGACGCCTATTTTTTCCTGGACGGATGGCTCTTTCTGAGACTCCATAGAATCCCAGTACCCATCTTCTTATGCCAGTCTCCCTCCAAGCCCTGCCAGTCCCTGAGGACCCTTCCTCAAAGTCTGAGTTTGCTTACCTCTAAAATGTTCTTGAGCCTCAGCAGTTTGGTCAACTGTTCACCCACTACTATTACTACTCTTGCTATGACTACTCTGATTCCCCACATTCCCCACAGTGGCCCACCCCAGTCTGCTCAGCTCTCTCCAGTCCTTGTTCGTTTAGTGGGGTGTTTTTTGGCTTTATTAGCGAACCAGACACCTTTGATCCCTGAAGGCCCCAGCAACCCTGAAGCTATATACCTTCTTTGCTCTGCCTCTTTGTATTCTGAGTTTTTCTTTATGTAACTCCTTCCTCTCCCTTATCCCTTCCTTTTATTGTGGCTCTCCCATCCTTTTCTAGAGTGCATGCTATCACCCTCAGCCTGGTCCAGGGCATGGGGGTCTGGCTCTTCCAGTTTCCAGGGCATCCTGGGAGCATGTGTTGCTGCCTTTTTCCTCTCCTGCTATCCTGCCGGGTCAAATGCTACCTGCTACCTCCTACCTCATGCGCCAAAAAATGAAAATTTCCTCATTTTCTTTGAGTTTTCCCCCAGGAGCTGCCTTATATTAACATACTCAGTGTTGGAGGTCACTGGGGTTGGAGGATTATAAGGAAGGAAGTGAAAGAAGATGGGGTACATTCATGGCTTAAGGAAGAATCATTTAGCCCAAGGATCAAGGAGAAAAGTGGGAGAGAGAGGATGACTGTAAAGGAAACTAAAAAAGAAGAAAAAGAGGAAAAGACAGTGAAGAGGGATGGGGAGTGGTGGGAGAAAGGGGGATGGAATCTCCTGGTTAGTAGGTGGGAAGGCAGGAAACACAGACTGGCCCCCCAGGTCTGGATTCCTCATCACCCCCTTTTTAAGGCAAGCAGTCCAGTTGGAGGAACTGCTCCCATTTTGGGCTTTTAAAAATTCTTTTAAAGTTAATTTAATTGAGTTTGGATTCCAGGGGAAAAGATGAAGGCCAGAGATGGTGTAGGTGGCTGTCTTGGTCTTTGGCTTGTTAAAAAGGCCAGCAGTTAGAATGATGGAACCACAGCACCATCTGGTGGTTGCAGTGCTTCACTGCATGCCAGTCTCCCCCAGCCTAGTTTTACTGGATCAGGTCCTGTAAGAAGTGGAGATGAGGGAATGAGAGAGGGAGAGAGAGGGGAGCTGGGAAAGGGCATTTGTTACTGACAGAAGGCCTTCCCCTTTTTGCGTAAAGGGAAAAAAATCCACCAAATTAGAGGTAGGTGTTTCATTCACCTGTTCATTTTAGTTAAATCAATATAATTCTACCAAATCTATGTAATTAAATTGAATTCAGCAAGGCTTTATTAAGCACCTATGTGAATTTGGCAAGAGCTTATTAAGGATATATTCTTTCTTCCCCTCCCTTCCTTTGCATTTTTTCCTACTTCTCTCCTTAAGCTTCACTATGTCTTTCTCCACTGTCAGTCTTTCTGTTATTTCTTTTATTCCCCATTTTACCTGCTGCATCCCCAAGGGACGTCCCCAAGCACAAGGAGTTCCCTTTCCTGAAGGGGCTTATGACCCTCTTGGGTACACTAGACCTAGGCCCATGAAATAATAAAGAGACCATACAGGAGAGTTTCTGACTAAGAGATAGGTCGCACGGTAGAGACTCGTTCATACTTAGCTGATCCTGGGGGGGGACACCAGCATGCGCAGTAGTGATCTAGGAAGTTTCCATGGAAAAGATGAGCTGGATCTTATGGGATGGGGGTAGGGTCTGGATAGATGGAAGACGTACCTCTCATCTTCAGAGGGTAGACAGGGAGAAGCTGGATAGACAGAGATGGAAGCCTGAACTGAGATGTCCTTAGGGTCTAAGTTCTCTCAGCTGTTGTTTTCCTCTTTTGAGCAGGTATTTCCCTTCCTTGGGGAGGAAACAGGGTTGGTGTTAGATGGATTTGCTTTTTCTTTCTCTCTTCAGGGCAGTGTTTTGAGGCTTGACTTTTCTTCCTTTCCATCCCTGAGATTAAACTGGCATTTCTGGTGTCTGTGTTGAGACATAATGATCATTTTGCATCTTGCTTCCCCTTCTCCAGCATAGGAGCCATGAGGATGGGAGGATGCTCCCATTTTCCTGACCGAGGCCAGCGTCTCCTGCTTTGTGCTCCTTGTCCATGGTCTGTGGTTTGACTAACCAGAGCTTTGTCTTTGTCTCTGTCCACATCTCTCTGCCCCAACATGTTTTGCCGTGTGGTCCCCTGCCCCCTGTCGTCGGTCGCACCCTACCCTTATCTGCCTGCAGCTTCGAAAAGGCCCACCAGTCCCACCGCCTCCCAAACACACTCCGTCCAAGGAAATCAAGCAGGAACACATTATCAGCTTGTTTGATGACAATTTTGTCCCCGAGATCAGCGTGACCACCCCCTCACAGGTCAGCCACAGCCATCCTTGTTCATTCTCTCTGCCTTCCTTTCTTCATTTATCATATGCCATCCTTTTCTCCTCTTCTTCTCCAGGAGAAATGAGGAAGGAACAGGAGGGCTTCAGAGCATGTGCTGGCAGCTTGGGGTGAGAAAGGCGTGGAAATGAATTTGAGCTGGGAATTATAAATATTTACTGTCTGTATCATATGGAAAGAAAAGCCCATTTTTACAAAATGAAGTCCTAAGGGGTTGAGTAGTAATGTTCCCTTAAGTTTCTACTTTTCAAGTTTTCTATCTTATGTCCCACCAAAAGATGCACTCCTTTGTTTATGTAGTACTTGCTATAAATTGCTCATGGGGGGAAGGGCATAAGTGTTTATATAAACCTACTATATGCCAGACACTGTGCTAAGCACTTTACAAATATTACCTCATTTGATCATTGAACCATAGACTGAGCTGGAGGAAACTTTAGAGATAATCTAGTCTAGTCCCTTCCTTTTGTAAGTAAGGAAACTGAGACTTAAAGAGAATCTCGGAGCTATTCAATGGAACTGGTGAGGTGCCTCGGCCAAATTCATCCAACCAGTTAGTGACGGAGCTGAGACTAGAACTCAAGTCTTCTCGTTCTCAGCCTCAGGTGCTTTTCTACCCTATCTTATCCGCCTGTCTTGCTGCTAGGGGCAGATGGGTGCGATGCCAGTTGGAATTCTGTGGCTCGAGGAATACAGTTAGGAAATCCTTTCTCTTCATTGAGAGGAACTTGGTATAGCAGATAGTGCACTGAGCTTGGGGTCCGGAGAGACTTAGGTTTGAATTCTGACTGACTCTTACTTGCTGTGTGACACTAGGTATGATTCATTCAGCTTTTTAAGCCTCGGTTTCCTTTTCTGTAAATACCGTCAGTATTACCTATCTCAGACTCTTTGAGATAGACCTTAAAACACTACAGAAATGTGAGCCATTATTAAGCATCGACTGTATGCAAGGCAGAGAGACATTGTAGTATAATGTCTAGAATGCTGGATTTGGAATTAGGAATAGTAATAATAGCTGGTATCATATAGTGCCTGCAATGTGCCAGGCACTGTGCTAGGCACTTTACAGATGTCTCATTTTATCCTCAGAACTACCCTGAGAGGTAGGTGCTATTATTATCTTTATTTTACAGATGAGGAAACTGTGACAGGCAGGTTAAGTGACTTGCTCAAGGTCACATAACTGTTGTCTACGGTCAAATTTGAACTCAGGTCTTCCTGACTCCCGGCCCAGTTCCAATCTACTACACACTTAGCTGCCCCTGGAAGACCTGGGTTTGAATCCTGGCTCTGTCACTTACTAACTGTGTGACCGTGAGTAAGTTCCTCACTCTGAGCCTCATGGAACTATCCACGACTGTGAATTAGAGATGGATTGCTTCTGCACCGGTGGAGGGAGGTTCCCACAGTGATGAAATCATAGGTCCTTGATTGACATATGCAGGGCGAGGTTTTGGAAATGCAACGATGAAAAATTGTACAACCCTTAACCTTACATTCTATTGGGAATAGGCTTCCTGAAGGGGCAGTGAGCTGCAGTTGTTTAAGCAGAGGTTCAATGACCATTTGTTGGGGATTTCATAGATGGGATTCTTGATTTGGCTCTTGATCAGCCTGTGTGATTCCTAAAGTTCTTCCCAGCTTTAAGAATCTGTTACTCTATGGATTCCCCTTCCTTTTTTTTTTTTTTTCCTTTACTCTTTTTGACACTGAGTCTATCACCTCCAGGCTGGAAGTCCTGATTGCACTGCTGATCATCAGCATGGTCTCTTTAACCTGTTCCATTTCTGACCTGAGGTGGTTTACCCTTCTTTAGGCAGTTTGGTAGTCCTTCTTCCCTTTCATTGTACTCAATCTTGGGAGCTCACCATATTGGTGTCAGATTTTGTGGACACCTGATTGACAGCATACGGCAGCTCAGAACTCTAGAACTCAGGCAATCCATCAGCCTAGGATTATAGGTGTGTACTACTATGACTGGCATTCTGGGATCCTTTTATGGTTTATTCTGAGCCCCTCCTAGGAAATCCTTCCTAGGAAGTCCACATATTTCAACCAGACTTTTTTGGGGGGTTAAATAAATTGCCTAGGGTCACACAGCTAGTAAGTATCTGAGGCTGGATTTGAACTCAGGTCTTCCTGACTCCAGGGCCCGTGCTTTATCCACTCCACCACCTACCTGCTCCTTCAGTTTGACTTAATGGGAGAGACATGTTCTCTTAGAAGGACTGCTGCACCCGCCTTCCTACTTTGCTAGGAGAAAGGAAACCGCCAAAAGCCCCAGGCTTGCAGATGGCTTTCATCTTCCTCCCCATTTATCTTCTCTACTCCATCTGTGCCTGCTACTTCCCTCATAATTCATTGCATGTTTTCTCTTTCTCTCATTCCTCTTTCTACCTACTGCATGTCTTATCTGTTTGTGTGTACAATTGGGGGAATACACCTGTTCATGGAGCCTGGCCTGAGGACCAAGCAGGGTTTCCATCCAGAGCATTCTCACCCTGGGTGCACAGAGGGGAGAGAGGGGCCACTGGGGCTTCTGGGACTGGGGTGAGGGAAGGCCTCGCTTCACCGGACTCGCACTGAAATGTCATCATTGTCACTGGCAACACAAAGGAAAGACTTCCAGCAAAACAAGGAATTCTAGGAAAGGCCAGGAGGCCTTTACTCATAGGGTAGAAGTTTGCCTGCTTTGAGGTAAGGGGAGAAGTGACTTCTCAGGAGTCCCCTCCCTGGTGTTCTTGTCAGATTGTTTTGCTTTTAAATGACTACTTTGTATTAGATTTATTGACATTCTGAATGAATAGTTAGGCTATTTGATTTATTTTAGCCATCCTCCTGACTCTTACTGACCCTTTTTCTAGGCTTATATGCTACCCCAGGGCAGTGAGGTGGTGAAGTGGATAGAGCTTGGGGCCTGGAGTCAGGAAGACTCATCTTCTGAGTTCAAATCTGGCCTCAGACGCTCACTAGCTGTGTGACTCTGGCCAAGTCACTTAACCCTGTTTGCTTCAGTTTCCTCATCTGTAAAAAAGAGCTGGAGAAAGAAATGGCCATCCTCTTCAGTATCTTTGCCAGGAAAACCCCAAATGGGGTCATGAAGAGTCAGATATGGACTGAAGTGACTGAACAACAACAATAAAATGCTACCCCGGGCCCCTTGGTAATAGCATTCTCCTGCCTCTTTCCATGCATGCCCAACCTCTTAAATTATTCTACCATCCAAAATGTCATTTCTCCTTCTCTCACCTCACCCCTATTCCCTCGGTGCAAATATCTCAGCTAGGTATTGGGAAGAAAACAATGGATGTGTGTGGACTTTTTCAGACTAGTGTGTAAAATGACTGGTACTAATTATAGAGATACTTGCAGTTTGAAAAGTGAACGATTATACTAGCCTAGATAAATCTCTTAACTATGTGGAATTTTATGCTTTGTGACAAAATGAAATGATTTAAGTTTAGGCAGTGATATTTTCTGAGCAGACTGTCTAATCTGTTCTCTGTTATGTCATATCTCTTCATCCCTGGATAGCAAAACTGTTTGGAGGGAATTTGGCTCCTGTTCCTAGCTTTTGGAGTTCACCACATCCATTCCTGCAATGTTATTCAGTCATTTTTCAGTTGCATCTGACTATTCATGATCCCACATTTGGGGTTTTCTTAGCAAAGATACTGGAGTGGTTTGCCCTTTCCTTCTCCAACTCATTTTACAGATGATGAAACTGAGGCAGACAGGGTTAAGTGACTTGCTCAGGCTCACACAGCTAGTAAGCATCTGAGGTTGGATTTGAACTCATGAAGATTCCAAGTTCAGTGCTCTATCCACTGCGCCACGTAGCTGCCTGTCCATTCCTGCAGAAGCATCCCTTGTTCCCTCCATCAAAGACAGACTCCTCTATTGGATAATATGGCGATCCTGGGGGCAATGGCTATGAGATGGGGAGGGGGCAGTTTGGGAGATGCTGAGCCCTTGTCAAAGAATGGGAGAAAGGGAGGGAACCTCGTGACAAAAAGAGGGGGACACATGGGGAATGATGACTCACCTTTAAGTGCTACATAAGTTATCCATTATAATCTTGGAAGCATTGTCTGGTCATACCTTTTCAGCCTGTGTCATAAAGATCTGTGGAGGAGGGGATCCTAGCAGGGTATGGTCTCTGTACAGGTGTGTGCCTATGTGCGTTTGTATATGTAGATGGTCAGAGAAGTATGCATGTGTCCCCATGTACTCACACCTTCTCACGTATGTCTAACATGCAAACTGCTTCCTCCTTTTCTGCTGCCAAGTTTGATGCCCCTGGGCCATTCCAGGAAAATGCCAGCCTGTTGGATCTGGACTTTGATCCCATCCCACCCGTTGCAAGCCCTGTGAAGGCACCTACGCCCTCTGGTCAGGTTGGTTTGTCTCTTGGCTGCTGTGTCTCCTGGAATCCCAATCTAGGGATCATGAAAGACCCAGCAGAGCCCTCCAGGCTGCTCTCCTGCTTTCACTTGGCTTCACATTTCCCTTTGTTAGCCATCTGGTGGAGGGCTCTAGATTAGTGAGTACCCAGGGTGGCAGGAAGACGAGCAAGTTTTTACTTTGAAATTTACTGTTAGCGTGATTCCAGAGTACTCATAAGGAAATGTGCTACCTACTACCTGAAACAGAGGTGATGTATTTAGCATACATATTGATTGAGACATAATTTTTAGACCCAGCCAATTTGGTAATTTTTTTTTGTTTGATTATGTGTATTTGTTGCAAGAGTTTTTTTCTTTCTTTTTCAGGGTGAGGATGAGGGATAGAGAGGAGAGATGGTGGATTTTTGTTCATTGAAAAATTTTTATTTTAAAAAAGAATTTTGCCAGAAATTGAAAAAAATCCTGTTAGTAATTTGTCTAATTATCCATGATTAGGCATCCTAGTTTATGTGGTTGAATGCAAATTATTTGCAAATAGATTTTATGCAACTATAGCTGACTAGGTAACAAAGCCTTTAGGGATGTCCTAGGGGAGACTTCTGAATTGGGTGATTTGATCATATAGGTGGTCAGAGTCAATGAGAGGCCATCTCTTTGAATGTGGAGCAAGGTCCCAGAACTCATTGAAGATCAGTGGGTCCTAATGCCTCAAGCTCTTTGATGAGTCTGCCTTTGAGCCCAACCCAGCTCAGTCATAGGCACAGTACTGTCGAAGTTGGGATCTTGGGGGAGAGGGGGCTCATCTGGATGTAACTAATTGCCTGTGTTTGCTGGCCTGTAAATCTAACTCTCTCTTTATCACACTTTGACATGCTTAGTCGATTCCATGGGATCTCTGGGAGGTAAGCTTTGTGTCTCCCCTTTTCAGGTGTCTCATTGTTCCCTTTTCCTTGGCATGAACTCAGTGTCGTCATCATGTTTTCTCCATAATGGTGCTATTTTCTTGCCCATTGGTTGTAGTAGGTTTTCATTCCAAAACCTCTTTTGTCTTTCTGTCGTTTCTTCTGCCTGCCTAGCATGATTATCCCCTGGATCCAATTCTCCTGAGGGCTCACCCTTTCTAGTGTCATTGAAAGAGTGCCCAGTACATCCTCTGGGTATATGTTGCTGTATGTAACAGTTTATATCCTGATTGGTAGAATGTATACATAATTCTAAGGCAAGGGTTCTTAACCTTAGGTTCCCTTTGGGGTCCATGGAAAGATTTCAGGGAGTCTGGAAACTTGTATAGGAAAAATAAATTATATCTTTATTTTTACTAACCTTTGTAATCTTATGTATCTCATTTCATGAATTTAAAAACATTCTGAGAAGGGTTCCATAGGCTTCATCCGAGTGCTGAAGGGGTCTGTAACAAACAAAAAGGTTAAGAACTCCTGATCTAAAGATTGTTGAATCACAGAATGTTAGATATGTAAATGATCATTCAGTCCAGCCACTTAATTTTACAGATAGGGAAACCGAGATCCAGAAAAAGAAGTGATATGCCCAAGGACACCCAACTAGATACACACACACACACACACACACACACACACACACACACACACACACACGCACGCACGCTGTTTTCCTCCATGTCCTTTTGTGAAAGCAGAGGACAGATACAAGACACAGTAAATTGAAAGGTAACACTCCCTGCATTAATTTCTGGGCTCCTGTCTTAAAAGTAAGATGCAAAGCCAGGCCCTGTTTTAATAATTATTCAAATCTGCCTCAGGAGTCAAAAGGGACAAGAAGACTGTCAATAAATTATTCATCAATAAGTCTTTATTAACACTTATCTGTGAATAGCTCAGATGGATAGTAGATGCTATGGGGAACACAGGAGAAGACTTGGTCCATGTAAGCTGGTTGACGTTGGTTCAACAAAACATTTACTAAGCCCTTACTTTGTGTAAAGCCAGAGATACAAAGATGAAAAACAACACAGTCTCTGTCCTTAAAGAGTTTACAATCTCTGAAGGGAAATACTGCATGTGAACCAATCAGTACACTATGAGGTAGGGAGTGATGGGACCAAAGGAGAAATTCTAGGCAAAGTGCTCTAGGGAATTTTGAGAGGAAGGGAGGGGAGATCATTTTATCCAGGGGGAAATCAGGCAAGGTTAAATGGAGAACAAAGTAGTGCCCAAGTCTTGAAGAATTCTGAAAGGTTGGGAAGAGATAAAGATACATTCCAGGTATGAAGGATGACCTTTGAGAATGTAGGGAAGTGTGCTCTCTGCAAATAGAAAAAGTCTGGGTTATGATTTAAACCATATGTGCAGTTGGAATTTGGAGACCAGAAAGATCATGGGAGTTGGAGTAGTTAAGGAAGCCGTCATAAAGAAAGGGGATCTTGAGCTGGGCCTCGAACGATGGTTAGTCTTTCAGCAGATGGAAGGGTGTTCCAGAAAGGTCTGTGAGAAGGCATAGGGCCAGAAATGTGCATGGCGGCATAGGCTGGGAGGGAAGGGACAGTAACAGTGAGTTGCCTGGAATGGTCAGAGCAGGAGGTTTGCATTGGAGAGTAGCTGGAGTTCCTTAGACCACAGGAGACAGGAGGGTGGTACTGAATCCTAGTTGAAACTCAGCTGTGAGTTGTTTTTCCCCATCAAGGTGATACCTTATCATTAAATGCTCTAGATCTTTGCAGGGTCATTGATAATACCTAATTTTTTTTTTTTAAAGAGAAACCACAGAACAGAAAAATAGCACCTCTTAAGATAATGCTTTAGCTGGGTCCTTTTCTGGGAATTCTGGGATCTCTGCAGGACTCTGTGGAAGAAAAGGAAGTAGGATGGTTTAGGCATCATTTCACTGGGAGAAATGAGGAAATTGGATGGTCTGTGTATCATTTCTGTTAAGGAGATGAGGAAGGGGGATGATTTGTCTATAAGATTTTGCTGAAGCAACCCAACACAAGGTATTAGGAGGGTTCCACACGTTCAAAAGTTAGCAGAATGACATTCCACCTCTAATCTCATCACTGGTTCCCTGGAATTAGCTTCTTGGGAGCAATTTGGATCTCTAACTTAGAGGCAGCTTTGGGCACAGATCATGGACTGTGAGCCTCCATCAGTGAACTGTCGCTATTTAGCTCTGACTTTGGGGAGAGTATGTAGGTTAGACAGTCAGTCAACAAGTATTTATTATTAAGCTTTTGTTGTGTGCCAGGTCCTGGGGATGAAAAAAAAAAAGGCAAAAACACAGTCCTCAACTCTACCCTTCCAGCAGGTTTTGCTATAGGTCCAGATGCTGACTCCTGGATTCCATGTGCCTCTGTGTTCCCCCTCCCACCCTCTCTCTGTAGGCCGTTGCTCATGTCTATTTTCTCTTATCTTCTTATGCCCTGACCATCACTTCCTTCCCTCGCCTCTCCTATTCCCTTTTCTTTTCTTCCTCCCCTTCTGCCCATGCCTGTCCCTAGGCTGCAGAGAGTCCAGCTGGCAGCCTGCAGTCTGTGGAGCAGGGCCCTGCTGATAGCGCCACGGAAGAGGGCGCATTTCCCGTGGTCTGGCCCAGCCAGACCTCAGAGCCTGGGCCAGCCCAAGTAAGTGCCCCACCCCACTTCCCAACTTGTCCCTGCCCTCCAGATGGAGAGGAAATAGGGGAAGGAGAAGCTGGAACATTTGAATTAAGGAGAGCAAAGGACTTCAGAAAAGGCACTCATTCACCATTCTTCTAGGGTTAGGTGAGACCTACGTAGAGGCAGGGCCCTGTGGGAGCTAGGTGGTTCTCAAGTTCAGACTTAGGCAAAAGTCACTTGCCACCTCTCCCCAGCTTGTTTAATGCCTTTAACATAACAGTACTAACCTTCTGTTCCTGGTAGGGGTGAATTACTTCCTAACAATCCTTCTAGGGCCTGATCCAAAGGACCAGGGGAAGGGGGCAACAAGTCTGCAGACTGAGGGCATAAGAGGAGCTCTTGGGTTCTATCATTCATTCTTCTGAGGACTCTATAGTAACATAATTATCACCTGCACGTTGCCTGATGTTTTTCAAAGCACTTTGACATCCATAATTTCATTTGATTCCATAATGACTCTCTGAGGTAGGTGAACCAAGGCTAAAATTACCCTTTGATGTGAATGAAGAAACTAAGATCCATTGAGTTTAGATGACTTTGCCTGGGATCATGTGGAGAAAGAGTGATTGAGCCAGTCCTTGGCTCTTGGTATATGCTCTTCATACCATAGAAGACTCGTCCCTGTAGTCTATGGTTTTTAAGTGTGAATTCTGGAGGGCCTGGGGGAATCAAGGAAGAGGGGAGAATGAGAAGGTTCTAAGAGGCAGGATTTGTCTAGAGGCTGCATACACGCTGTGGTAAAGAGGGGGGAAGATGGCTACCCTTTTTTTGGGTATTGATGGTGAAGGGGGAATATCTGCCGATTCTGGCCAGATCTGTTCTTTGGGGAGGGAGAAGAGGATGCCTATTCCTACACTCTGGGGCCAAGCCAGGATCTGACCTGGCTCTGGGATTTATGTTGCAGCCAGGAGATGTGACAGAGGCTGGCGAGACGAAACCAGTGGCAGTAACTGAAGGAGCCAATGAGACGGCGGCAAGTGACGGGGCCTCTGTAAGACCACAGGGAAGACAGACTTTTTTCTGTCTATTTCTGTCTTTTTCTCTTTGCTTCTGTCTCTGTCTTTCTTTTCCCAACCCCACCCTGGTGTGTGAATATTTAAGGCTTAACCCCAGTCCAGCACCTTGATCCCTTTGCCCCATAAGCTGGACCCACACACCAGTGCCAGTGAGGATCCTGGATGGGCCGGCCTGTGACCCTCACTGACCGCCAAGGTGGATTCTGTGCTGTGGGGCTACTGTCTTCTGTTCCCCTTGCCCCAACACTCCAGCCAGCCTTCCACAACAACTCCCTGACCCTGTCTTCACTTCCTTTCCTAGAGCTCCCTGCCTGCTGTGGTGGTTGAGACCTTCCCAGCCACCGTGAATGGAACTGTGGAAGGCAGTGCTCCCTCCAAGAGGTCTGACTTGCCCCCAGGATTCATGTTCAAGGTAAGAGAGGGAGGGAGGAAGAAGCCCCTTTCTCTCCTAACTGCCTAGCGTAAGAAGGGACCACTTTTTCTGAGGAAAGGGGGAAAGTCTTTCCAATTGGGGGAAGAGGGTGGTTATAGAACATCTGACATTATTAACAGCACTCCATATTTTCCACTAGTTCCCCAGGAAGGGATTCCCTTCCCAGTGGAAAAACTCTTGGAACCTATTAGTAAACAGCCAATAGAATCTTGTACTGGGTTGAATCTCACTTAGCAAAATAATTGATTAATCAATCAATCAATAAACATTTCTTAAGCATTCCTGTGTGTCAAGCATTGTGTTAAATGCTAGGGATATGGAAAGGGGTAAAACACAGTCCCTTTCCTCAAGGAGCTTACCATCTAATCAGTGAGTCAACTTGCAAACAATTACATAACAAAGCAAACTATATACAGGATAAGCAGGAAATAACAGAAGGAAGGCACTAGAATTAAGAGGGGTTGGAAAAGGCTTCATGTAGAAGATGGGATTTTATTTGGCACTTAAAGGAAGCCAGGGAAGTCAGTAGGCAGAGATGTGATTATCTAGCAGGTTCTGTTAACATGAAAGGGGTTAATGTTTGGTGAGGACTTGTAAGCCCATGACCTTTCAAGGAAATTTATTTTTCAATACAAACATGCAAATCTGTTTTTAAAAATGACTTCAATAAATTGAGATAATTTTGAGTAAACCTAAACATATGGACATGAGTATTTCTGCATAAAGATTGAATTAGATTATTAACCCAAGGATTAGACAGTCTGCAAGCTTCCTTCTAGCTTAGCTCTAAAGTCTGTGGACTGTGAAGCCTCTCTCCTGGGGCCCCAATGGGCTTACTGCATAGTCATGTATGTGGCAAGGGAGAAAGAGAGATGCAGCTTCTGGTACACAGTCATTGAAATGGACATTTTTTTAAGAGTACTGCTATTTCCTAAAAGACCCTCGAGGTTTGGAGGCAAAAGTACACACACATACACAGACACACACAGACACACACACAGACACACACAGACACACACACACACACACACATACATATCTCACATCTTCTTAGTTTCTAAGCTCTAGATATTATCCTCTTAGGAGGTACTATCTTTAAAAAGGGATGGGTGTTTTTTTTTCTTTTTCTACTTAATAGTATTTTATTTTTTCCAATTACATGTAAAGATAGTTTTCAACATCCACTTTTATAAGTTTTTGAGTTCCAAATATTTTCTCCCTCGTTCCCCTCCCCCCTCCCCAAAGCGGCATGCAATTTGATATAGGCTGTACATGTACAATCAAATTAAACATATTTCCACGTTAGTCATGTTGTGAAAGAAGAATCCGAGCAAAAGGGAAAAACCATGAGAAAGAAAAAACAAACAAACAAAAAAAGAGAAACTGGTCTGCTTCAATCTGCATTCAGACTCCATAGTTCTGTCTCTGGATGTGGATAGCATTTTGATGGGTCGATTTTGAACTGAGAAAGTCTTGCCCTATTATCCAGAGGAAGCCACTTTTTCAAGCCCAGATACAAGACCCCTTACTGTCCCCGTTTTCCAAAAGAAAGAACAAGAAATAATTAGAACACAACACAAGAGAATATACAGGCAAGTGTTTGGTTATGAGGTGATTAAAAATAATAAATTATAAAAAAAACCCCAAACCCAGACCTCTATATTGCACTGTACCGCTCTATGGTCTGCAAAATTCACTGATGGTCTTCCTCCCCATGGCAGGTCCAGGCACAGCATGACTACACAGCCACTGACAGTGATGAACTACAGCTGAAGGCTGGAGATGTGGTGCTGGTGATTCCGTTTGAGAACCCAGAGGAGCAGGTGAGATGTTCAGGGGTCCAGCCACAGCACAGGGGCCTCCATGGCTGGTCCTCTGGAAGAGTATTGACCACCAGAGGGCAGCACAGGCCACAGCATGAAAGCACCTAAGGGAACGTCCCTGCCTAAGGGAGAAGGGCTCTCCAGGAGTCATCACCATGGTTTCTGGGCTATCTCTGATTCTTCCTGCGTTTCTCCTCATTTCTTTCCATTTTCCTTCCCTTCTACTTCTTCACTCTTCCTTCCCTCCTTCCTTTCTCTTCTGTCCCCACTTTCTTCTCTTGCCTTTCTTCATATCCCGGGTGTTCGCACAGACCCTGGAGCATAGTAGGAGTTTAAGAAGCTTCATTTTTACCTCTATAGCTCTCCTACAACCACTTTTTTCTTACTCCCTCTCTTACTCTTTCTCCCTCCTTTTCTGTTTCTCCTTCCTCTCTCCTTCCTTCTTCACACACTTTTTTTATTCTTTTTCCTGTCTGTCTCTCTCCTCCTCTCCTCTTTTCTCCTCTCCACTCCATCCCCCTCCCTCCCTGTTCCTTTCCCCCCTGTCTCTTTCTTTCTCTCCTTTTGTCTTCTGTCTTTATTTTTCTGTTTCTCTTTCCCATCTTTCTTCTCCTCCCTCCTTCTCCTTTCCTTCTCTCTCTCTCTGCCTTATCCTCTTCTCTCTCTTTTGCCCCAAATTCTCATTCTAGATAAATGAAATTTGCTTGACAACTTTATGTAAGCATCAGACCATCCACCACCAAATTCGGTAACTACCAGGACCTGTGAGAGAGAGAATAGAAAAGGGAGCAGGAATACCAAGAAGACCTGCATTGCTAGAAAGAATACTTAGTCAAAGGATCTAGGCTCCAATGCTGGTTCTCTCATTTACTAGTTCTTGTCCCCCTTCTTTCTCTATTGCCCTACTCCTCCCCCTCTCGGACAGATCATTTTAACTTATTTGTTAAATCAGGGGGTTGGACCAGTTGATATCTAAGGACCTGTTTGTTCTGAAGTTCTGTGATTCTACAATTTCTCCGTCTTTCCCTTCTCCTTTCTCTCTCTTTTCCCTGTCTTACTTCTTTCTGTTTCTACCCTATCCTTCGTCTCTTTCCTTGCCTGTCCTTTCCCTTCCCCCTCCTCTCCATCTTTCTCTGTTGCCCCTTTTCTTTACCTTCTGTTTTCCCCTATTCCCCATACCTCTTCTCCCCCCCCCCCCCCCGCTTTTGCCCTCAGCATCTCCTTGCCTCTCTCCCTTTCTCTCTCTTTTCTCTTTATAGAATCATACAGTCTTAGAGATGGGAAAGGCCATCTAAGCTAAGGGGGATGTGACACCAACACAGCAAAAGCAGACCTTAGAGACTTCACAAGGGACTTTGACACCCGGTAGATAAATATGCCTGAGTAGAGTTAAGTGATGACTTGAGTTAAGAGTACAAACTAGGTTTAGTCAGTGTGTACTAGTAATGCTGCTAAGGCTCTTGATGATATCCAGAAGCTTTGGGCCTTAGCTGTGTGTGTGTGTGTGTGTGTGTGTGTGTGCGCGTGCGTGCGTGTGTGTGTGTGTGTGTGTGTGAGAGTTTTGGGGGTTCAGGGGAGTGTCACTTGTCGCTGTTGAAAACCCAAAGGGTGCTTCCTCTATGCATGTTCCCTTGGGGAGATAAGGTTCTAGGAAATCTGCTCATTATGTCTCTCTATGAGAGAGGAAGAGTATAAAAAAAACCGAGCATCGTTAACAATAGGAAACACTAGTGAGGAAAAGAATTACTTTCCCAGTATGACTACTCCCTATATACACTCTTCCAATAGCCTCAGTGGAGGAATGCAGGCCTGTGCTCCCTACCAACTTCCTACCCATTTATGAAATCCCTTCTGCAGTTTCTCTGCCTTAATATTCCCAGTAACAAGGATCTTACTACCTCACAAAGCAGCCCATTCTATTTTTTGGATAGCTTCTAATTGTTCGGCAGTTTCTTTCCCCTAATATATAGCTGAAACCTGGCTTCCTGTACCTTGCCCACTGATCCTAATTCTGTATTTTGGAACTGTCAAAAATAAGCGTCTTCTACATGATGGTACTTTAGATATTTAAAGATAATTATCATCAAGGCAGCTTGGTATAGTAGATAAAAAACTGGCCTTGAAGCCTGGAAAATATGGGTTCAAGTCTAGCCTCTGACATGTAAATATGTGACCCTATGCCAATAATTTAAGCTCTCAGTGCTCTAGGTAGATCTTCAAGTAGCAGAGAAGGTACCAGCCTTCATTGGTGGTGAGCTTCCTTATTTAGAAATTACCAGTAAAATCATATTCTTTCTCTCTGTCCTATCACACCCACCCTCCCTCCTTAACTCTTCTCTAAGCAAAATCATTTCCTAATGAGGTGGAGCCAGAACCCATCCATCTTGTTGTCCCTTTAAAGTACATCCTAGCATGTCCATCTATTTCTAGACTAAACCCTTTCTATCAGTGTCTGTCTTAAAATATGGTGCGCCCCCCCCCCCCCCCCCCCCCAACTCTCCATTGGAGATTTGGAGGCCTATGGATGTGAAGCCTTGTATGCTGTGTACTACTTGTGTTCAGTTCTGGCCACATTATGGGAAGAATATGGGTTAGTGGGAGAGTGTCCGGAACAGGTCAAACAGGATAGTGAATAATCTTGAGTCCATGCCATATGAGCATGGGTTAGGGAACTAGGTGGGAATGAGGATAGCTTTCTTCAGGTACTTAAAGAGCTACCATGTAGAATTTGGATTAGATTTTTTTTTCTGCTTGGTCTCAGAAGGCAGACCCCGGAGACTGGGTGAAAACAGCAAAGAAGTAAATTTAGATTTAACTATTAGAGCTATCTGGAAATGGAATGAACTGCTGCCTAGGAGGGAGCAAGTTTCACGTCATCAGAGATCTTGAGGGAAAGGCCGTATGGCCAATTAGCCATTTTGTAGTGGGGATTCTTTTTCAGGTATGGGTTAGATCAGGTGACTGCTGAGGTCTCTTTGCTTCTGAAAAGCAAAGGAAGTTGCTTGTGGGCGAGTGGACAGCTAGCTCCCTTTGTGGTATAATTATACCACACCAACTTAAACATCTCTGCCACTGGTCAGTCAAAGTGCCTGAAAGACCAGGATTTAGAGTTTTATTCTTTTCTTTCCACTGTTAAGAGCACATCTGCTTCTTGGAGAGAAGGGCACCACATAAAGCAATTATCAGTTATTAACACTTTAGTGTGAAGTGATGGTAGTCTTTTCTAGTGTGATGGTTGGAGGTAGGTGAGGCAGGGTGGTAATGTATGGGAAAGCTAATTAGAACATAGAGTCTTAGTGAGATATTTGGGTCGAAGTCTGAGATGAACATGGTGGTTTTGGGTGCTGAGGACACCAGGAGAAACTTTTGCTGGAAGCTGGTCCTGCTGGGATAAAATGAAGAAGCCATTGTTGAGCATGTATCATTTTGCAAGGTACCTAGGAGATACAAAAAAGTACAAGACATAGCCTCTTTCCAATTACTTTATTTTTTTTCTCAATTACATGTGAAAACAACTTTTAACATTTCCTTTTTAAAAAATTTTGAGTTCCAAATTCTCTCCCTCTCCACCTTGAGAAGGCAAGCAGTTTGCTTTGGATTGTACTTGTGCAGTCATGCAAAACATATTTCCATATTAACCATGTTGCAAAAGCAAACAGACCAAAAAACCCCAAGAAAAATAAAGTGAAAAAATTATGCTTCGATCTGCATTCAGACTCTGTCAGTTCTTTCTTTGGAAATGGATAGCATTTTTCAACATTAAGTCATTTGGAATTGTCTTGGATCATTGTATTGCTGAGAATAGCTAAGTCATTCATAGATGAGCATTGTACAGTATTGCTGTTACTGTGTCCAATGTTCTTCTGGTTCTCTTCACTTCACTTTGCTTCAATTCATGTAAGTCTTCCCAGGTTTTTCCGAAAGCATCCTGTTCATTTCTTATAGCACAATAGTATTCCATTCCAGTCACATACCACAACTTGTTTAGCCATTCCCCATTTGATGGGCACCCCTTCAATTTCAAATTTTTTGTCACTGCAAGAAGAGCTCCTACAAATATTTTTGTGTATATAAAGTCCTTTTCCTTTTTTGTTGATCTCTTTGGGATACAGACCTAATAGTGGTATTGCTGGGTCAAAGGGTAGGCATAGTTTTATAGCCCTTTAGGCATAGTTTCAAATTGCTCTCCAGAATGGTTGGGTCAATTCACCACTTTACCCACAGTGCGTTAGTGTACCCAGTTTTCCACATACCTCAAGCGTTTGTCATTTTTTTGTCATATTAGCCAGTCTGCTAGGTGTGAGTTGTACCTCTGAGTTATTTTAATTTGCATTTCATAACCAAAAGTGATTTAGAGCATTTTTTCATATGACTATAGACTGTCTTCATCTGAAAACTGCCAGTTCATATCCTTTGAGCATTTAACAATTGGGGAATGACTCATATTCTTATAAATTTGACTCAGTTCTCTACCAGAATTATCCATTTTACTTCCCGCAATCCACTCTATCTCTTCTTTAGTTCTTCCCTTATCCATAGGTCTGACAGGTAAAATATTCCACGCTTCCCTAATTTGCTTATGGTGTCACCCTTTATGTCTAAATCATGCTCCCATTTTGATCTTATCTGTCAGTATACGATGTGAGATGTTAGTCTGTACCTGGTTTCTGCCAAACTGCTTTCTAGTTTTCCCAACAGTTTTTGTCAAATAATGAGTTCTTGTCCCAAAAGCTTGGATTTTGCATTTATCAAACACTAGATTACTATGGTCATTTACTTCTGTGTATTTTGTACTTTATTCCATTGATCTACTACTCTATTTCTTAGCCAGTATTAGATTGTTTTGACGATTGCTGCTTCGTAGTACAGTTTGAGATCTGGTACTGCTAGGCCACATTCCTTCACATTTTTTCACACTGATTTCTTTGATATTCTTGACCTTTTTTCCTTCTATATCAAATTGTTATCATTATTTCTAGCTCTACAAAATAATTTTTTGGTAGTTTGGTATGGCACTGAATAAATAAATTAATTTATGCAGAATTGTCATTTTTATTATATTGGCTCAGCCTGCCCATGAGCAATTAATATTTCTCCATTTGTTTAGAAAAGCATTTTGTAATTGTGTTCGTAAACGTAGTCTCTTTGTAGAGCGTAGTTCAGCTGGTCAAGAGAAGGTTAAACATTAATAATAATATTCATATAAGGGATAAAGAGTTCAATAGAACAGAAGATATATTGTAAACTCTATATGGTAAGAGCCATAGAACAGAGCTATGAGCAATAACTCATAGTGTGAACTCAGTGCAATTCAGTGAACACTTAAGTGCCCTATCATTTGCTGTTACCCATGTTTATACAAAGACAGAAACAAAATTGGTCAGAAGAAGAAGACTGTCATTTGAGGATGAAACAATCAGGGTAGTCTTCCTGGAAATGGTGGGATTTGAATTAGGCCTTGAAAAATAGGTAAGATTTGCCCAAGTTGCGGTGATGGAGGGGGTGAAGTCTTCCCAAAGGCCGGAAAAAGAGTTAGAGCTGGGGAGAATCTCTAGGCCACCCACCCAGGACCCAAAGCACTTCCCCTTACTTCTCTTCCAGGATGAAGGCTGGCTGATGGGTGTGAAGGAGAGTGACTGGCATCAGCGTAAGGAGTTGGAGAAATGCCGAGGTGTTTTTCCTGAGAACTTCACAGAGAAAGTCCAGTGAGAGCTGCAGTCATCACTCTTCTTTCAAGGGGAGTGAAGCCACTCCCCCCCCCCCCCTCAAAAAATGTGTCTTTCTGGGTTTTTTCTTTTTTTTTCTGTTGGGGAAAAAATAGAAAGAAAAACAAGGAGAACGAAGAGGAAGAACAGAAGCCACAAAACATAATGGATGACAACCAAAATTTGAATTTGTCAGAATGATGTTTTAAAAGTGTTATTTTGCAGCTGATGTATCCCTGTAGTTGAGTTCCAGTGCTGAGATACCCCTGCTCAGTTCTCAGTAGCGTGTGAGCCTTGATCAGGGAACACTGGGTGGGAGAGTGACCTTGCTGGAGACAAACAGCAGGGGATACTCAAACCGTTATGCTTGCCAGTCACTGTGGCCCATCACAGGGTGAACACCATACACCCATTTCCCTGGCAGCTCCTGTCGGCATGGGTGTTTACAGGCAGCCCGTCCTCTAATCTTGGCTCTAAAGATCCTTCTCCAACCCCACTGACCAGGACATCTGTTGTGCTATTTGACAATAAAACTAGTGTACAGTGTTAAACAAAAACAAAAAAATGCCACCGTAAAACTAAAAGAAAAAAATCAAAACAACTAAACCCAAAACAAATTGTGTGTTTCTTTTTTTTCCTCCCCCCCCAACCCCCCAATAGGTATAAGTGGACTGTGATTTGGGATTTTATACTGTGATGAAGGAAAAGCTAAGGCAAGCCAAGTTAGGGCCTGCATTAAATCAAAGGGAAACCTCATTCCTCCCAGCTGAAGCTTGACACCTGGAGGGTTTCCCCTTTGACTGGGGACAAATTAATGTGAAAGTGACCACTGGTCAGTGGTTCAAGAAAAGGGGGAGAAAATGTGCTGAGGAAAAGGAGGCAAAATTAGAGATAGAGGCAGCCTGTTTTCTTAAAATTATAGTCTTTCAAAATTGTACCTTTTTATTAGTAGGAGAGTATAGCTCTTTGGGAACACAGATCGGCCCTTTATTTGTTGTTCTTGAATGGGGTTGACTTTTTTCCCATGGAGAATTCTGCAGACTGGCCAGGGTTAGAGCCACCTTCCTGGCCCTCTTGTTGGCTAGGGTCAGAGCTGTATGAACTCTTTTAAACTCTATTTAATATTGGTGCATGACATTCTTATCCTGTGGTTAGTTGTGGGGAGAAGTGTGAGAAGGGGAGGGGGACTCCGTGAAGGGGGGAAAGGTGTGAAAATTCAGGCATTCCCATTTCTCCATGGCTTTGCTTTGCTTCTGCAGAAGGGAAGGGGTTTGTGTTGGTCAAAACTAAGGATACTTGAACATGGATGTAAACTAACCAATACCACCTCTCTCTCTTGTTCTCTCTCCTAGTTTTCCTCTCCCTCTCTCCCCCTCATTCTCTCTCCTTTTGATGTAAATTCTTCTCTTAGGAAAACTCCATTTAGAGCAGGTGGGGCCTCCATGCTCAGGCTTCAGCCAGTCTGAACAAAATTTGCCTACATGGGCAGAAAGCGCTCCCAGGGGCTGCTGGGTGTAGTTGTCGTCATTGCTTGTGTGATGAATTGAGGTGTTGGAGTGGATGGGGGAGATCCAGGAGCCAGCTTTGTGTCTAGGGTGGGTTGATTTCACTTGAAAGGGTCATCTTCTGCATTTTGCTCAGTGTTTTATTTTTAAAATGAAAAACAAAGCAAAACAAAATGAAACAAAAAAACCCTGTGCATCATTGTCTCGTGTGTGTGTGTGTAAGAGTGTGTGTGTGTGTGTGTGTGAGAGAGAGAGAGAGAGAGAGATCGAGATCTTTTTCTCTACCTGTTCATGGATGGCCATCATAGCTTGCCTCTAGCTGGAACAGCTTGTCATGGTTCTACTTTCCAGCAGTAAGGCAGCCTTGCAAATAGCCTCCCCTCCCTCCCCCCAACTTGCCCAGGGACAAAGGCCAGCAAACAGTCAGGATTGTGGAAGCAGCTTCTTTGGGTGGTGTTCCCCAGGGTTCTCCTCAGGGAGGGTGGGCTGGGAAAACTGTGTGGGCGGCTGGTTTGGGTACTTTATCTGCAAGGCTGACTTAGTCATATTGATGGTCATTCCTTAAGAATGTTACAGTGTGTTTGACTGCCTTGTTAGTTGAAAAAAAAAAGTAGTGATGTTGGTTTCTCTTTTGGAAAATCTGAACAATGTAATGATTGATCCATGTGAAACTCTATTTTTATGCGTTTGTAAACCTGGTTGAATCTTCTCAGAGCAATGTTTTAAAATATATATCTACATAAATATATAACAGTAAAAGCAAATGAATTGGGTTAATGCCAGAATCCTAGCTTAAATTTGTTTATTTTTATGCAAAACTTGTGGCCTTTTTTTTTTTTTAAGGCAACAGGATTATAGTTTCATCTTCTGAGTTGTCTCCTGGGGTTATTTGGTTGGTTGGCACTTCAGCAAATCGTTGTGTAGTACATATGGCTGTAGACAGCCAAACAGAGAGACCCTTATTGGGGAGTGGGGTGGGGGAAATGGTTTTTTTAATTTTAAGTTATCTCCAGAATGGAAACCAAATAATTCGATTTCTTTTATTCAATAAACACTGAGTTCCTCTTCTGTGCCTGGCCCTGTGGTGGATGTAAAAGATAAGATCTAACCTCTCTCAGAAAGCGCCTAAGGTCCGGTAGGGGGACTATGGTGAACACACAGATACCTGCGACAAAACACCATCAGTGAGTTACTGAGAAACGGAGATAGGAGCTGAAAGGTGGGAGAAGTCACTGGGCTTTCATTCTAGTGCTATAGGTCCTTGGGTCTGTAAAAACGAAAACTGTTTTTTCCCCTATAAACCATTTTCTGCTGGGTCATATACTCACTCCTAAGAGTTGCCAGTGAGATGAAGTCTAACTCTGTGTGACCTTGGGCAAATCATTTGCCCTTCTTAAACTTCAGTTTCCTTATCTGTAAGGAGGAGGAGTTGAAGGATTTGGTCTCTGAGGGCCCTTCCACTCTAATTCTATTCTAATCCAATTTAATCTAAGAGTAGTTTAAAAGAAACCTAGATAAGAATGTAAATGCTGATCCTAGAAAGTTGGGTCAAGCTATCCTGGTCAAGATGGTTGCTTTGGGGGGGAGGGTGAACTTGGCACAAGAAGGGGTGGATGAAAGCCTTTATTTTCATTGTTATCCTGATAATTCAATTCAATAAACCTTAAGCGCGTACTGTGTGCTAATCATGGGACAAAATGTGAGATGGCCTCTGCCCTCATAGCCCCAGTAAGAAGCAGCCCTGTATAGCCAAGGATGGATCTCTTTAAGTTAAGGGGGGAATCACAGCTGTTGTCTTCTTGTGGATACTCTGTTGCTTTCTTGTATTCCACACTCTTCCCTGTGTTGGGGAATTCATTATAAAGTCAGGTCTGTTTTGGACCTGACCTAGGGCTTAATAGTTCTTGGTACCAAAAATCTCTCCTCAGAAGATCATTTCATCCAGAGGCAGAGGCCCCAGGGCCAAGACTGAAGGGGCACAAAAGGACATCTTAATATTGTTTAATATAAATGCACATATTTTTGGTTCCAGAAAATGCTGTTTTGTTGGCATGTGACTATTTTGTGTGAAGTTCTGTGTCTCATAAGTAGGGAGCAATATTTAGGGGAGAGTAATAAGCAACACTTTTTAAAGTTTTCCTAGAATCCAGATGTATTCTTGTTCTGGTGGGTGTTGTGGAGGAGGGGGTCAGGGCAGAGGCTTGGAATAACCCACCATGGATGATTGAGACCAGTCCACTCACTGTCTCTAGAACATACCTTATACTTTTCCTGCCTCCCTGTACTTGTTCAACTGTGTCACCCTCACTGGAAGGCTATTCCTGTTATGCTCAGTCAAATTGTGCCTGTTCTTCAAAGCTCAATTCAGGTCCCATATCCTCCACAAGACTTTTGGCCTTTGACATTTTTAACTAGTTGTATGACATTGGGGAATCACTTTGCCTCTCTGACCTTCAGTTTCCTCATCTGTGAAATGGGGGTAATTTTACTGACCACTTCCTTCACAGCGTTGTCCCAAGGAAAATACTTTGTTAATGTTTATCAGCACTAGAGAAATGAGAATAGTCTCTCCAGACCAAAGAGATCTTTCCCTTCTTCCAAATTCCTCCCTAAGACACTCGCTGTGTGACTTATTTGGTGTTTGTCTCACACTGCTATTTCATATCTGATTGCATTAAACTAAATAAGTCCCATCAGAGCAAGGCTCCTTGTGTTTTTGTCATCCCTCACATAGCAAATAACATTTGATTGAAAAAGGCCCTCACCAAATGCAGGGGTAATTATTACATATGTGGCTACTTCAGTGAATAAGCATTTATTAAGCACCTGCTATATGTCAGGGACTGTGCTAAGCACTTTACAAATATTATCTCATTTAATACAACAACCCTGTCTGGGAGGTGCCATTATTATCCTTCTTTTACAATTGAGGATAGAGATTAAGTGCCTTACCCAGGGTCACACGGTATACGAGGCTGGATTTGAACTCAGGTCTTCTAGACTCCAGGCTCAGTGCTGTATCCACTGAGCCACTTTTCTGCCTAAAACGAATGAATGAATACATGAATCAGAAAGCATATATTAAACACTTGCTATGTGCTAGGCACTGTATTAAGCAGTAGAGATACCTGCCCTGAAGGAGCTTACATTCTACTAGAGGGAATTAACACAAAGGGAAGAGGTGGCCAGGAAAGGCAGTTTTGTTCTGATAAGCCACAGCAATGTTTAAGATCCATAAGGGACTTTCCAGAAGCTATAGTATTCCTTTGATTGTCATACCCAAAACAAGACGAGGAAAGGAGATGCAAACGAGTGGAGGCAGGGCAATGGCATGATGGCCAAGATGTATTTGGAGAGGATGGGAAGCATGGCCTAGTCTGGGTCCAGCTAGATTTATCAGGTTAGGTGACTTGCCCTTAACTACTGCATCCCCCTCCCTCCCCATCACTGCCAGCCTCTCTCTGTCTTTGTCTCTCTCCCAACTCTGCCTCCCTCCACTCACCACCCCCCCCAAAGAGAGATGCAATGACTGGGGGCTCTAAGTAGATAATGGGACTTAAGTCAAAAGACTTTAGATCCCAGTCCTGGCTGTGTTACAGAATTATGTAAGCTTGGGTGAGCCATAAAACCTTTGTTTTTCTTAGAGGGCTGAGTCCTACCTGGTCAAGTAGGACAATATTCTTGCCATGTGCTTATCTAGCCTTTCCCTGAATATTTCCAGTGATGGGTCTCTCAGGACCTCCCCAGCTCTAGTTCAAAAACTATTCCTTATAATAACCTGAAACTTACCTCCTGCTAAAACTTCCATTCATTGTTCTAAGTGCTGTCTGTGGCAACATAGAAGTCTAATCTCTTTTCCACGTGAGAACCCTTCAAATATCGTTCCCTTCCAAGTTTGCTGTTTTCCAAGGTAAATGTCCTTTATTCTTTAAATGTTTCACAACATCCTCGTTGACCTCTGGACACACATTCAAATTTGTCAATGTCTTCCTTAATGTGTATACTAACTATAGCATAGTTTTTAATCTCAGTAGGTCTCTCACATTCTATAATTCTGTAACAACTTCTCATTCACTTGCATTTTCAGACTTTTCTGGCTCCGTCTTCTCATTAGGGTTCTTAGAGGACGGTGTGCCCCATTGTAACATTCACCTCCTTTTCCTGTCCTCAGCTTATAATACACATGACCTGAGATCATAGATCTAGAATTGGAAGACACTTCAGTGGCCATTTATTCCACCCCCTCACCCCCCCCTCCCTTTTTATCTTATAGAAGAGGAAATTGAGGCCCAGGGAAACTAATCAACTATCCAAAGGTCACATAAAGCAGAAAGGATCAGAAGCAGGATTTGAATCTAGGTCCTCTGCCTCCAGAGTACTCTTTCCATTATACCACAGTTGATTTGAAGACAGAGAACTGTAACCTCTTAATGGAGTTTACATCTCAAAGTTGCCAGTTAAACCCAATAGAGAATGAAGGTATTTCTTCTCCAAGGATTAGGCTATAAATGACATTATTCACTGCTCCAAACCTGACCCTGACTGCACTGGAAGGACTAGGAGTAGCCAATGGATGAAGGCTACATCCATGAATGACAATAGATTGACAGGTTGTTCAGTCCTGTGGGATTCTGTGATCCTTTTTGGGGTTTTCTTGGCAAAGATCCTGGAGTGGTTTGCCATTTCCTTCTCCAGCTCATTTTGTAGATGAGGAAACTGAGGCAAGCAAGGTTAAGCGACTTGCCCAGGGTCACACAGTAAATAAAAAAAAAACAAAATCTGAGGCCAGGTTTGAACTCAGGAAGATGAGTCTTCCTGATTTGAGGCTCAACACTCTATCCAATATACCAGCTAGCTGCCCCCAGACAAAGAGATCAGGATGTAATATGATTAAGCTATCTCCTAAAGGAAAGGTCAAAGCAGCTTAGTGAGAACTGGTCCTCTTTGATGTACTCCCAGTTATTTCTTTTGGTTCAGTTTTCTCCATTGAGTTATTCTATCTGGCTCCTTGAAACCCCAACCAAACTGTGTATACATTGAGGGATAGGGAAACAGGCCCAGACTTAAAGGAGTGGGTCATATAGTGAAGCCTTGTAATGGTCAAACCATGACAGATTTCAGCCTAAAAAGGTTTAGAAGCTACCATATTCTTGCCTCCCTGCAGCCCCACAGGTAAATTCCCATTTGCTATGTTCCCCAGATCCTTTCCCCTTTAATTCCTGTTATTTTACTCAAGAAAATATTTTCCAGAGGCCTAGTTCTCTCACACCCATTTTCATCAATGGGCAAGAAACACTCAAACTACACATACTTTTACACACAAGTGCATGCACAAGTGTATGCAAACATACAAGTGTATACTGAGACACACACTTAAGTCACCTTTCTTCCTCCTTGAGCTCACCCCATTTCATATTGGCAGAGAGACAGGACAGATAACTTCCCATAGTGCCCTACAAGGGAACTGTTGACCCCAGAGTTGAGCCATTCCTATTGGAAAGGAGTTTTAGTTCTGTGGGTCCAGCTCTTGGACTCCATGGACTCTGGCTTTCAGTCTCTAAACATGTGCAGTAATTAGTGGGGGGAGGGGAAGAAAGTGGGGAGATTTTATGGGGCTGGATGTGAAGCAAGGATTGAGGACAGAAAAGGGCCATTGTATGTCTCTAGAATCTTAGCATGATTGTGACTATCTATATTTGGCAGTGTGTAAGCAAGCATCTGTGTGTTTGTATTTGGGTAAGTGTCCCAAAGTAGTTTTGAACTGACTCACCCCTTACATCGTCATATTGATCTTTGTTCTGTAATGAAAACTGTTCTCTTCAGGGGGTTTCCGGGAAGGGAAGAATGGTGAGTGGGGACCAGAGCTCTGGGCTATGGGTATTCTTTTGGAGAAAATAATAAAAGCTGGTGTTTCTATAACTACATGCCTTATCTTATTTGATTCTCACAACAGCTTTCTGAGATTTGTGTTGCCATGACTCTTCTACCCACTTTACAGATGAGGAAACTGTCTCAGAGAGGTTAAGTGACTTGCTTCTTGTCATACAATAGGATAACATGGTGGGATCTCTCCTGATCCAAAGTCCAAGGTCTTATCTCTTCCTCCTGTGGGAAGGCAGGAGGAATGTCCAAGACTGATGGAACTCAGGTGCCCCTAGTCTTATACATTTCATGGCATGTGCAGGCGACCCTTGGTGAACACATTCTAATGGACATAAAGAGAAGGTCTCATCATAACACACCCCCTACTTTTTCTATGACATTCTAAGGTCATACAATGACCTTAGGAGGTCATTGAATTCACCTCCACTCATTTTATGATGAGGAAACTGAAGGGATCAAGGCCTAGGGAGGCTAAGTGACATGCCCAAAGTCGCATAGGTAGTAAGCATCAGAAGAGGGGTTTGAACCTAGGTCCTCTGATGTGAGAACTAGTGTTTTTTCCATTATACTCTGCAATTCTATTTCATATACAGGTAGTCTTGCTTTATACATTTTGTCATTTCAGACATGCCTGAAATGTCATTTGTGTTCCACATTTTCTCTCTCCTCAAGTTGCCTGCCAAAGGGCGATTTGAAAATCATCAGCACAGTAATGGTAATTAAATCCGTGGGAGCTGATGAGATCACAGGTGAAGGGAGGGAGAAGGGAAGGGCCAGGGCAGATCCCTGAGGATCATCTAAGGTTAAAGGGTGCTATCTGGAAGAGGATTCAGCAAAGGAGATCAAGGAGGAGAGGATGATCAACAGTGTCAAAAGCTGCAGAGAGATCAAGGACAATGAGGATTGAAAAAAGGCCATTGGGTTTGGTAACTAAGAGATTATTAGTAACTTTGCAGAGAGCACTTTCAGTAGAATGATAAAGTTGGAAGCCAGATTGTAAGGGGTTAAGAAGAGAGTGATGGGAGAAAACGTGGAGGTACCTAATGTATATGGCCTTTCTGGAGAACTTTAGCTACAGAGGGCAGGATGATTGTAGGGATGGAAGGATTGAGTGAGGGTTTTTGAGGATGAGGGTGGGGTGAGGGACATGGGTCTCTCTGCAGGCAGTAGGATATAAACCAGTAGAGCAGAAGAGATTGAAAATAAGTGAAAGACTGGGGGTGACTGGGGGGGCAATCTGTTGGAGGAGATGGGATTGAATGGGATCATTTGAATTGGTAGAGGGGTTAGCCTTGGTAAGGAATAAGGTCACTTCATCAGGTGAGATGGATGAAGAAAGTGATAGTATTAGAAGGCATCTGAATGATAGAGGATGAGGAAGAGGGGGAAAGAGGGAACTTATGGGGAACGGCCTCATTTCTTTTTTTGTGAAATGTGAGGCAAGATCTCAGCTGAGAGTGTTGGGGTGAGGGGCAGCCATGGGAGATCTGAGAAAGGATGGAGAGGTTTGTTTGGAAGAGCCACTGTGGGGAGTGGGACAGTATAAAGACTAGTAGGATTGCCTAAGCAGCAGTGAGGGCCCAGTTGAGGTCGTGGGACATAACATTTGTAGCGAATTTAATCAGAACGGCTGTATTCAATAGCACACATGTAGGACAGAAGGTGGTGAATAATGGAAGTGATCCAAGGATGAGGCTTGGCTGGGCATAATCTGTGATGTGATAAGGGGGCTAGGAACTCAAAAAAGGAGAACAGTGTAGAGTTGAATTGGCTTACGAAGAGATCAAGATGAAGAAAAGAGGAAAGAGTAGTTAG